TATATATATATATGTCATGTTACGTCTTTAAAGGCTAGATAATTGAAGAGACTTAGGCAGCTTCTGATAAAAAGGCATTTTATTATGTTATGTGGAGTATGGAAAATAGTGTTCGTGGGATATTTACATTGACGGATTCCCTTTTTCAGGGATTGTTTGGAGTTGGTCCAGATTTACCTAGCCATGGAAAATATGAAAAAGACACGCAATTTTGCCTGTCCCGAGCTTCTAAAGTAAGGTTCTGAAAGGGAGTGGTTGCAAAGATCTTCTTATCTTACAGAAACGTCATTCAATTGATAAAATTTAAAGGTTTTGATTCGCTAAAAGGATAAAAGGACTCTGATTCTGGGAATTTTTTGAGACTATCTTAATGATTACTTTATCTACGAATTATTGCCCATTAACTTCAGAAAATAATCTTTTATCTGGTTCATCTTGACTTTTTATGGCTCTTTGTGAGAGACCGACTTCTGCATCTTAAACTTGATAAACATATGTTTTAAGCTTATCAGTTAATATAGAAAGACTCGCATGAGAAATTCTGTATTATATATATATAAAATAAGAGAGCATTGGTTTTTATAAAAAAAATCCACACTACTTGCATTTAATTTAAGAAATCATTCTAATTTCCAGCTGTATTCTGATACCAGATTTAAAATTAAACTACTTTATTAATATATATTTTTATATATATGAAGGTTTGAATCATTTGCTGCAACTTTTCCTGAGATAAAATATAATAATTATTAAAAAAAATTTGTGAACCATTATTATTTAAAAATGTACCTTTTATATCCTCTTTTATTGCATACCTGATTTGAGCAGAATTCATGTCAAGTTCTTTCTGACGTTAAAGATTTTATTTGCTTTAAATTTGATAACAGCTATAATTTTGTCTTATTTTTCTGGTCAGAAATTAAACTGACAATAACCAGTTATATATTTCCTTCAACATTTTCCCTTATGTTTTAAGTAAAACCATTTGTATATGGTTATTACATGTAATAATCATTATTATTTTTTAAAAAAAATTTTTTTATGCTTCTTAAAAAGTTTGTAACAGGGTTTATTATTCAGATCGAATTAGTAATAAAATGAATTATTTCAGAACTGAATAGTCAGTTGACAGCAATTAAATTTTTTATATGATTGTGTGATCACTAATTAACTCAATTATGATCACTTAATTGTGTAATATGAATATGATTGCAAGAGAATGACTATAGCAGTATTAAATACTAATAGGCATTCTTAAACATTTTTTTTCATCATGTGTGCTATTGACTGCTAATTTTGCACATTGACACACATTTTTCAGTTATTCAAATTTCAAATTTTTGAAATACGTTAAAAATTTTGCTATTTGAAGAAAAATTATACTATTTCATAATAAAGTTGTATACTTAAAATAGGTGTTTCAATTTAGTGAAATAGTTGATTCTTTATAGATAACTTGATTTGTCATAATGAAAGATATTTTATTATTAGTTATTCTTAAATATTGTTATTTTTTCCTGAATTTTATTAAATAATTTTTTTTTGAATTTTTAGACAATGAAGATATTTCTCCCAATAAAGATGATTCTGTTCAATCTGCTGCAGCTAAAGTTAATCAGAGAGCTAAATTAAAACAAGCAGTTCGAGATTATGGTGCTACAATAATCGTATTCCATGTAACTATTTCTCTAGCATCTTTAGGACTGTTCTACTTAGCTATTTCAAAGTAATTATGCAGCAATATTTTTTCCCCTCAGTTTTATATTTTAATGAGTGTTTCAATTCTATTTTTAGTAAATAATATAAAATTTGTAAATGATGATGATAATTATTTGTTCCTTACTTTAGCTTTATTTTAGAATTCCAGTTATCATCTTTTTTTTTTCTTTTTTTAAAATTCATTTTTGGAATTGAATTTAATTTTTTTACATAACGTCAAGTTTATGTTATAAGTTTAAATTGGAGGATACAAAGAATAAACTCCGCAGTCCCACTGGTCACACTTCAACCTTCTTCCAACTTCCCATATTTTTGACCTAGCTTAAACTCATCCAGACGTCATCTTCTGTGTTGTCAGTTGGCCATATCACACCTTGACAACAAATTAACTTCGTTTAAAATGATGTATACTGTGCATTACTATTCAAATAAATACTGAGCTTCCACCGCCGACTTATGTTATATCCTTACGACACGCCCCCCAGTACATCTTAGTGCATGTATGCAAATTTTCTACTTTCCCCTACTGTGATAGGTCTTCTCAATGACCTTTCCCTCTGTTGCAATTGCCTATTTTGTTGTTTTGCTAGTTTTTCCATTTCGTTCTTAATTTTTGCACACCAGTGTAGAGTTTTCTTAATGAAATTAAAATTGTCATATTCTGATATTTTGTGAAAGGCTATAAACTAGATCAGTAAATTTCTGTTACTCTTTTTCTTTTATACTTCTATTACTATTTTTGATGGTTCAGGAGCCAAGTTAAAAGGTTTCGGGAACCACTTTTGGATTCCAGGCCATAGGATGTGCATCCCTGTTAACATATTTGAAGAATTTTAATTATTTTTTAGATTTTTTTTAAAATTTAAAAAAAAAAAAATTTTGCTAAAATTTGTATTCTATATGTATGTTATTTATAAAGATGTCTTACAGTTTTGTTCAAATAAAATATTTATGCTATTTATAAAATTTTTTCACAAAATTGTCTTATCGGTTAGCACAAATTTCTGTCTGTAGAAAAATATTTTTACTACCTTGTTTTTCAATATACTTCTTGTAACTCATATTATTTCTTTTCTAGTGGTGTAGATGCAGTCATATTATTGTCATTTCTGGGTTTCCCGGAATCTGTGATAACAAGTAAAGTTGCTGCTGGGGGAAGTACCTTTGTGATAGCATATGCTGTGCATAAATTATTTGCTCCTGTTCGAATTGCCATAACGCTATCTGTTGCACCATTCATTGTTAGATATTTGCGAAGAATTAATTGGTTAAAGGCTCCTGTGAAGAAAGGCAGTTAATAGCATCATATTGTTGTGTGTAATTGCTATTGCTCATATTTTTTAAATATTATGAAATATTTTGTATTTCATTTGGTTCAAATTATTTTTAAGTTAAAAATTATGGGTATTATGTAATATTAGAAAGCAGATGATGGTAATACCTCGAACTCCATACCACACACGTAAAACCTTTCAACCATGTATACACTTTTTTGACTAATTATTCATTTGTATGGAAGTAAAAGTTTAATAATCCACAGTTAATATTCCAAGTATAATTTTTATTCTAGTTGATAACAATTGAATTTTTTTTTTTAATATTTTGCAAATAGAGGACTTACTTTTAGGTCCCATTAAATTAGGTTCCAAAAATATTCTTTTTTGAGTTTTTAATTTGTACGTTGTATTTAATGAATATGTTTTTAATCCCTTGAACTCGTGAAATTGATTAGGAATTTGAACCTGCGTGTTATGTCAAGTAATAAGAAAAATCTGTTCCTTTTTTTTATTACTCTGCCTATGTTTAAAACACTTGTTACATTATTTTGTTGTAATTTATCTTGTTCTTTGCAAATGATTTTTTTTAATTCTTTAAATTTGGGTTTTGTTGTAAATACTACAGTATAGTTCTTCTTTACAAGCATATTTTCAATGAATGATTTTCTTACAAATATTCATTTGTAAATTTTGATTGTTTAATTGAATAAAGTACTTTTTCTGAAGTACATTTTTGTATTAGAAATAGATTTTTGAAAATAAAAACATATTTTTTTTAATCTGTGTATTTTAATTTATCCTCTGCCTGAAAAGAAAGCACTTATTTGGGTTTTGTTTTCAAAATGAGTTGAATTGTTTTGTTAAAGATATAAATATGTTTTGTCCTTATAGATCAAACAAACCCCTCTGAATATTTTGTTTGTACAAGAATTATTACTTTTTCTTCATACCCAGAATTAATGTTTTTTTTTTTTTTTTTTTTTTACCCTTTTGAGATTTCTTTTATTTATTTGAATTAAATTAAACTTTTTATGAAATAAATGCCCCAAGAAGATAATGTGATTAATAGACTTAAAGCTGGTTGTTTGAATTCATGAGGTTCACAATGTCTATTAGGTGTTATCTATTAGTGTAGTGGAGCACACACTGATTGAAACTTTGCCAGCTGGTCAAGGATTTTAACCCTTTACAAGACCATGGGAAGTATACCCCCCCCCCTTGTCATTAATTTTTGAATGTGGTGTGCAGCTATCTTCCTATCTATGATTTGTGAGGCCTTCTTTTAATAACTTTTGAAAAGAGTAACAGTAAATGTTATCGAGAGGGCAACACTGGAGAACTTTTTTCTCTTGTGTGTTATGTGCTTATTCAATTAATTTTAATTCTTGTTCAATTAATTAATTTTATTTCTCTATTCAATTAATTTTATTTCTTGTTTATGAGTTGTTTATTTCTGGTCATAAACTCATAATTTATAAATTCGATTATTTATATGCGCAGAAGTTCAAGTTTATGGTTAATTCTTTTTCTGTAGGTAAAATTTTCTAAATCCCACCTATCTTTTCACTTAGCATACAGTCTTAAGAATGAAATTAACTTTGGATAATAAGCTAAATGAATTTCTTTTTATAAATTAATCTTAATTCAAAAAATATTTTATCATAACATTACTAGGAAAAAAATGACTCTGTAAAAGGTAAAGTAGGGGTTGGCACTTAAAGTAAACCATTTTCTATGAAGAGCAATATTAACTCAAAATAATTAAACATTCATTACATTGACTCAACATTTTTGCTAGATTTCCGAAATGGGGAAGTTACTGTAACTCTTTATCTTAATGGCGGATTTTATTGGTCTCCTTTGTCTTTGTTGTTGACGTATGTCTGTTTAGGCAGAGGGGGTACGATTATTTTTGTTTTCCAGTGGCGCCATCTACGGCCAAGAATTCGACTTCTGCCACACCATACGTCACACCCGTTTATGGGGCGGACCCATTAATTCATCTACAGATCGTAATTTTGACCTGAATCAGAGAACGATCGATCTCCAATCCAGTACCCCCAGAGGTATTGATTTGTTATGGGAACATGGAGGACTTTTGCGACTCGACAGATTTAACGTGCATCCGTCACTTTATTACACGGGAAGTCTTCGGCCGGTGGGGTTCGAACTTTCGGACATGGACCCAGCTCCCTACAGACCAGGCTATCCCGGCCTCCTTTATCTTTGGTTTCCCTATTTCTAGTGATAATTTTTCCCCCATCTGTTATGCCATTCAAATAATTTATTTGAGAACAGATTGCATGAAAATTTAAATTTGTAAAAAGAGATAGTAATAGTAGAAGAATAGTTTTTCTTTCAACGTTTGTTGACCGACAAGTGGTGAAAAAAATGTCAGTGACCAAAAGGTGAAGTTTTTTTAGACTTCAAATTTAAGTTATATCAGTTGCTGGCAATTACTGTTCTAATCTGAAATTATTTGTTGATCTCATCTCGGCAAATCTTGCTGAATTTTCTTCTTCTTTTTTTGTTCAAATCACATTGTACGCAAGTTTTTGCAATCACTTGATATTTCCAGTTTGGAGTAATAAAACAATCAAATATAAATTTTATGCACATTACTAAAATTAAAGTCTGGGGCTTTTATTTGCATCAGAGCAAAATCTGCTATTTTGTCAGCAAATGAACAATAAACACAACTGCAATGCTGCTGAAGATTATTTACACTTATCTTAGTAACTGTTTTCATATTCTCATTATGTGCATAATCAATTTTAACATCCATACATTTCATTTATGTAAGTTTATATTTTATCTATATTCTTAATATTAAATGTGTAAAAATATAGTTTATTCAAGTCTTTTGAGAGGTTTGCTGAGAAGTTTCATAAAGCACTATAGTCTCTCGAGGCCAGGTGATCACCTTCAGTTGAGAAATGCAACTGCTGTGTAAGCTCTGGAAGTGTCTGATTTGTGTTCTTATTATAGCTACATATTCATAATATTTAAAATAACTCATGCATCAGTTGCATTAAACAATGTTTGTTAATTATAGAGAGACAAGTTCTTCAGACTGATAAAATTTGATAAATTCTATAATGTTCATTATTAAAAAATTATTGACAGTGAATTTTATTGCACCATATCAAATTTTTGTGACCCTATAGCCATCGAAATTTGATCTAACCTTTAAAGCATTTTTTATTATTAATTTACTGACATTATATGAGTTGTCAGTAAAAATACTTATTATTAAAAGGAGTATCTATTTAACCCAAGTACATTTTCATGCAAAGATTTCCTTCTTCTCCTTTTTCTTGTAATTTTTACCATTTTGTTTAGCCATAAAATCAAATGTTATCAGGCAAACGAAAGTTTCTCCTTATTCAAATTACAATTTATTTGCTCCAACTCCAGTAGTCGTCAGTTAAGTGTTCAAGTTTTCAAACGCGCCAAATGTTTTTTTACTTCAGATGCTGTTAAATATTATTTATTCGCGATGTGTACTATCTTAGGCATCGAAAATTGATCTCATTATATCCTTTTATGTAGAAAGTTGATATAAATTAATAAAACTTAATGTTTTTGTATTGATTGAAGAATATACAGGATTTTAATTTGATTATTTACGTAGCTTCCGAGCTATACTAATAGACTTTATTGAAAGAACTAAAAATCTTGTAAAAAAATTACTGTTTGAAATTCAATAAATGTAATTAGCATGTAAAATACTTTTATGTATTTTTTAATTTTAAAAATAAATTTCTGCTCCTTTGAAAAGACATATCGATTTATATAAGGAAGGAATATTATTTTAATAATTTTACACGTTAAAAGGCTTGCTGTGAAGCATTTATAAGTAACATTTTCACTGTGTTTATGTCCCTCAAAAAAAAAAAAGTTTAAAATTGCATAAATTTTTTATCAGTTTGAAGTAATAACGCATTATACATTCTTTATCTTTACGCATTATTTCTAATGAAAAAAATTATATTCTAAATTCTGTTTTAGCATGCATTTTGTTAAAAAAAAAAGAAAATCAACGTATTGACTAAACAAGGTATCGAGATACGTAGATAGCTAAAATGAGAAACAATATACTTAATTTCATAAAGTTGAAAAAAATAATGTGTTAGTTAATTTATGGCTCATATTATTATTACTCACTCGCATATTATTATTTTCAATATTTCTTTTCCGCTGCTTATCATTTCTTGCAGAGTAAGCACTTATCATGTCGTACAATGATTTTCAGTAATTTCGTCTTTAATAATTCCTTAAAATTAAGTAAGAAAAGAAAATATATATATTTTTTTATCAGCAGTGTTTTGAGTATGCTGCATAATAAAAAAAAATTTTTTTTTTTGTTATTGATTTAACCTTGCCTTAAATTTTGAATAACTTGCTTTCATAATGTTATTTATTCATTTATTATTATTATTATTATTTTTTAAAAAAGGTGCCTCTTTTTTCTTTCTACTCCGTGGCTCGCGTAGGTGAGTGGAGTGTGAGGCAAACTTCTGGAATTTAGCATTTCCGCAGCAACCCGTTGTGGGTCAGGGGTTCATGAAGATAAAGGCTCTACAATTTCGTTACAAACGGCCTGATTCTGGCTATGCGATCAGCACTGAGCACAGACCACCTTTACTTCTTACATTAGCTGGTATCCATTGTTCTGAAGCTGGATGGGCCTTCAAGCCGCCTCTGGGGTGCGGACCCCATATCGCAGTGACATTTCAGTGCCTTACCCAATGAGCCATCGAGGCTTTGAATTTCTCGCTTAGATAACTTTAAAATAGAAGTGTGGTAGCTAAAAGGAGCAAGGAAAAACCAATTTAATTTGAAAAAAAAGAAGGAAAATAAACGTTTGAAATACAAGTATTTTCAAAAATCTAAATTAATATTCTTAATCCATTTTGATTTAAATGTAAGTGAAATTTACTGCATGATAGAACATTAAACGTTTCCAACAAATTATTCTTAAATGTGAGAGAAATTTAAATTTTAATGATCGAGAATTTCATTATTAAATTTGTTTGAAAATCATATTTCATTCGTTGTAAAATATTTTGCTTGATGAGCCAAACATTATAAGCTATTTTCTAAATTATCTTTATGAATAGTAATAACCCTTAACTAAACTTTGAATATAATTAATGTAAAATAGTGAGCTGTTTTCTTGTATTAAGGGAAATTTCATTTCAATGTGGTAAGTATATATGCAATGTCTTAATTCAGTACCTTTTCTTCGTAATTACAATTTTCATTATCTTAACTTAAAATAAAATTAATGATTATAAATACCCAAATGTCTTTTAACCATAGAGTTTGTGTTTCTTATAGTTATGTTAATTTATTTTATTTTGTAGCAAGTCTTGGTTAGGGAGTGTTTACATCTCTATATACGCCTCTGCCCTTTGTCTGGGTATCTCCGCTCGCCACTGCTCTCCTTTTCTTCGAAAAACAGAAGGAAGCTCATATAATCTCCTCTTCGAATGTTAAACAGATAACTTTTATTCATCTTTTTCGAGTAATTGCATATCTTAGAAAAAGAAAGTGTTGAGGTAGAAGAGTGTTTCTTAAGAAATCCTGTTCTGAAAGCTGACCTTGAGAGGCTAGGGATTTTCCATAATGTTCGCACTTTTCGAGAGGTCATCATCAGATATGAAAAAGATGAGGATGAGTTCTTCTTTGCTCATAATCTGATGTGTTTGTTCCTCATCGATTTCCAAAACAAACTCCTTATTGAAAAGGAAGTAGATTCTTTATCTACTTCCCTTTATTTTTTTAAAATCCCATTAGCGTCTCTTTCTCTGAAGAGAAAAGATGAAAACTTATGCATATGGTAAGTGATAATTAAATGCATTCATATACGATAATGGCAAAGTAATTTGTTAATTTATAATTTCGTTTTATTTGTAGTAACATATGGTAAATGATAATTAAAATTATTTATATACGATGATGCCAAAGTTATTTGTTCATTAATAATTCCGTATTATTTAAAAATAATTTAAATTGTCAATTCTAAAGGACTAAACATTGAAAATATTAATAAATGTTTATATTGTAGATTTTTACATATTAATGTTAAATAAACGAGAACTCATTGCTACCAATAGTTGTACGTATAAAAGTGTTATTCCATAGATTTTGTTCATAATCACAATTTACTCCATACTCCCATAACACCAAGAAATGTGTACAAATTCGTCCATTCAACAAAAATTCGTTAATTTCCCTGTCAGTCACCATTTGCTAAATGACGAACATTCGTATATTGCAGCAAAATTTCATTTTCAAAAATCGACGGAGGCATATATGTTACGCTATGAAGTTTGTCAAGTTAATAGTTATAACGCTGCAAAATAAATATACAAAGAAAATATTTTAAAAAAAATATTGTATAGATTGTACATAAAGGGTTAACCATAGTTTTTTTTATCCAAACCGTAGAATGTGAATTTGTAAAAGAAAATTTGTTTAATTAATAGCTCACAACAATGAAAGTTGTCATATAATGCATATTATCTTGATTATAATGCATATAATCTTGCAATACGAGATTTTTTTCCCGTTTTGTGATCGATTTATGAAACATATTATTCTTTTCTCCCGTTTTGTAAGAGAAAGTAAAAAAATGGCATAATGCATATTAGCGTGATAAGGGAGTTAAAGTTCTCTTTTTCCTGTTCTGTAAAATTAAGTCATCACACATCAAAATTTGAAAAAAAAAATTTCTTCTCTTTAGCTGCGCTACTCATCGTCTGTTTGTTCGATAATTGTATTGCCAGAGGACTTAACTTGGGATTATGCGACAATAAGCAAATTTCTTGCAACTGCGGGCAAAACCAAATACGAGCTAAAGTGAAACAGTAAGTATCACATATAATTTAGCATATATAATATTAATAAGGAAAAAAAAACTTTCAACATTTCAAATATTTATATTTGTTCAAAAAAAATTCATATTCGTTCTCTGATGCGTGCTTTTTTTAATTATTATTTGCACTAGTAACGCGAAATATATTGAAAAAAAAGTAAAGAATAAAAAGCAGGAAAGAAATTTGATTTTATTTTTTTAATCCAATTTCGTGTTCAGTTAGGCTTTTTGCAAAGCATCAATTACATAGTTTGAGTAAGATAGGCCATAAAAATTTGGCTATAATTATTGCAATTATGATTCGTTTAATCTAAAATTCAAACGATTCGTTATGTATTAAAATTTGACTAGCAACTATATTTTCCTTTGGTAGCAACGGGTAAAATGAAAAACCAAGGCTAAACTAGATAAGTAACTTTACAATCAAGTTTTTCCTTGAAAAACGTAGCAGCTGATTTATTTAAAGCATTTTATTTATTTTCATAACCGGCGTTGAATAGCCGACCAGATTCTGAGTTTACAACTATCAATGTTTAACTCCGTAGTCTCGTAAATACGAACGAAACAAGGGAATTCCTAGATCACGCATTGAGACAAGTTAGCTTTCGTCGAAGACTTATTGAACTAACCCGCATTTGCGTTACGTGGAGAGGAAAACCACAAAACTTTAGGAGTAGAATTCGTATCAATCAGCCATAGCAGGGCTGGGGCAGGGACATGGGTTGCCTCCTTGGGAGGCGATCGCTTTATCCCCATGAATTACCACGGCTCTTATTCAGAGTTTTAGATTCAATTCATTTCTAATAGTCGAACTCCGCTATAATGACCTATGGGATATAGTGAACATTCGATTGTCGTGAACATGACACTACAACCGAAGGAAATGACACTACCTTATTATAGAACATCAAAAACAATAATAACAACAGTTGTAAAGTAACATTTGCTTCTATTTTAAAATTTTTATAACTTAGAATAAAATCATTAATGAGGGATTTTTGAGGGCTTTAAATTTTAGACTTCAATTTGCCACTCCCTAAGCACGATGATGGCCACTGATAAAGCTATAGTTCAATGACGAGCAAACAGAAGAGAATTCTGGGGGGGGGGGGGCTGAGAGCTTCACTATAGACTAGCCCAGTGATTCTCAACCACTGTGCCGCGGCACTTTTGCGTGCCGCCAAATTCTTAAAATGTGCCGCCAAATATTAGAAATGATACAATAAAAATTAGAATGCTTTTTTTTTTACTATGGGTAAAGTTTAAATTAAAGAAAAGTGTATAGATATGTATATATATACTTTTTATAATTTTTCCACGCTTTAATCGCGTGAACATCTTTGTCGGCGATTGTCTTGCCTCTAAAAATCTTAAAATAAGATGGAAGTGTTTAAATTGTATATAACGCACAATTTTAAAAAATGTTGTAAGAGCTAATCAAAGTAAGCTATGAAATTAATAAACAAATTAATAAAGGATAACTAAAAAAACAAATATATAAAAACAAATTAACAAAGGATAACAAACAAAAATTAAGCTTTTTATTAATAATTAGCAGAAAAAACTAGTTAACAAGAAATCACAAAAAAATAACAGTTAATGTAAAAAAAACTAACAGTTAATAACTATAGAAAACAAGCTAACAATTAATTACTAGCAAAAAAATAAATAATTGTTACTAACTAATAAAATATTGGTCGAAAGAAATAGTTAATCCCTTAATAAATGTGCTTTTGTGGTACATATTATTTTATTTCACATTCAAAATTATTATCACAAACAATTTAACACAATGTAAAATAGGTAATTAAACAACTTTTAATCTAATTTTTTTTCATTGTGTGCTGTCAAATTTCGAAATCGTTAAAAGTGTGCCGCAACAAAAAAATGGTTGAGAATCACTATCACTAGCCCTTACGTTGCTTTTTCAATTGCACGACAGAATTAGTGATCCTCGCATTCGTACAATAAAACTTATCAATCTCACAATTTTACACTCATATAAAAAGTTATAACATAAAAATTAATTAAGACAGACATATTTCTAATTATTTAGAGCCAATAGTTATTGTCGAGTAGCTTTTAATTCTTAGATGAAATCAAAACTTATTCAGATCGATTGATTTATTTTCCAAGGTAATAAGATGCAAATATTATTTGAGGATCTCACCTTAAATATCCTAACTAATTAAATACAAAAAAAACTTATATTATTTAGATTATCATGGCGCAAATAATTACTAAACGTTCTCCACCCACCAAAAAAAGAGAAGAATATTGTACAGTTTGTCTAAAGTAAGAACTCCCCTAGCCATTCGTTTGGACCCGTGGCGGTGACTATGGTAACGATACATAACTATTTCAAGTAGGGGTGTGGGGTCACTGTTTAGTACAAGTTTTGGCTCGGTTGGCCAGAGAAAGGGAATCTTTTTCTTTGGTATGTTGTGTTAGCCCTAGAGTGAAGAGAAGCTACACTCCCTGAAATGCGCTATTCTTGTTTCCATAGCAGCAGAAGGCCTCAGACTTTGTGGCGGGGGGGGGGAGTTCTTACCGTAGACAAACTACAAACGACCTTGAATTGATCTAAAGCAGGGGTTTCCAACTTACATGAGGCGGGGCGCCACAATTAAAAACACAAATCAAATGGCTGGCCGCAACTTTGTCAAAATTTTATGTCGAACTCTTTTTATGTTTGAAAGAACATTAAATATTACTGTCAGATTTTTACCAAGTTGTACAAAACAAAAGTACTGAATTACAAATTAAAGTAAGAAGTAGATCTTTAAAAAATATTTCATTGTTGTTAACAATATTTTTAAAAATATTAAGTAAATAATAAAAATTCGGGTTACAATAACTTTAATGTGCACCTATGTATTAAACAATTAATGTGCAACAGACAATTGTTAAGATATGAAACTTTAAAAAGGTTGTAATTTAAACTTACATAGTAGCACACAAAATGTTCAATGAGAAAATTGAGGTTTGTCTGCAGCAACCACCAGAGAATAGATATTTACATTTAAAATTTACAAATGTGTGAGTAAATATTTTCGTCCTAAATGAGTGGTTTCAAAAAGTTAAATCGTAGAATTTCTTCGAGAAAATTTCTGATACGCACATGCTAAGTTATATTCACAAAGTACAAAAAAATTAAATAAAAAAGAGCAACATACACAATTATTTTTGTATTTGAATAAATATTTTCCTGGATGCAAAACCTGAGAAATAAATGTTTTGCACCGTTGGTATGCTAAATTTCACAGAAACGAAGAAATTAGGTTTTTATTAGCGAGAAAAATATTTTAAAACCGTATCGATTTTTTACGAAAATTGTCCGCACAAAATGACAACTAATATATTTTAGTTCGCGGGCCACAAAAAAAGGCTCCGTGGGTCGGATGCGGCCCCCGGGCCACCAGTTGGACACCCCTGATTTAAAGGATCAATTCAAGTTCGTTTATAGTTTGTGTATGGTTGTTTGATCTAAATTGATCTATTGATTTATTATTGGAATTCTAAATGATCTTTTTCGATTAAATGACGGGATATTTAAATGGGACATCGCTAAGAGGAGTATAGGGTTGTTTCAGTGTATATGTATAAACTATTTAATGTCTATATTTTAATGAGAGAAAAAAATATGATTTCTACTTACAAAGCAATTTAATGTCAGGTATCCGGAGCAGAAGAATACAGATCAGTAAAATAACATAATAGTGACATAAAATTAAGCAATTGACAATTCATAGACAGGTTTTCTTTGTAGGGCATTAATGAAAATTCTATAAAGCACATACAGTAAACCGGGGCGAGTCTACTCATTTTTTCAGTTTGTCAACTTTCAAGTGGCCAAACTTTTGTAAATATTAAAGAAAAAAGGCTTTTAATAGGTGTTTCAGAATCGTTATTTATCCCTCTTTAAAGCTGTGAAATCGATTTTAGAAAATATTAACAGTTACGCTGTTACTGTATATTTTTATAGAACTGCTGACAAATCTCTCGTATGGGGCGAGTCAACCCGTTCTACTAAAATGAATGTTAACATTGTAAATAATCAAATTTTACTATTAAGTTGTCATTTTAGTTACTATATAGGACAGGGGTGGCGAACCTTTATACACCAACGTGCCATATTTTCTAAAAAATTGTTTGATTAGGTCATAGACGTGCCGTCAAATAACTTTGATTTCGTGATTATTGGGAAAGTAATAATACTAAATACTATCAACTCAAAACTCTTTATTTACATTGAAAAAAAAACATTTTGCAATGCCTCAGTTATACGCGTAATTCAACTTAAAGTAACATCAGTGTGATTTCTGTTGTTGCAGATTAGATGACAAATAACTTATATTAGGCTGTAAGATGTTAGTTTAAGCAGGTCTGTTAATTTTTTTGCTACTTATTTATTGTTAGCTTGCTTAATAGGGTTATTAATTGTTTTTTTAGCATTAATTGTTAATTTTTTATTAATAATTGTTTATTATTTTGTGTGTTTTTTGTGAATTTTAATTTAATTGTTACATATGCCTCATAGTGTAATATCATTCGTGTAATAACAAATATGATCGGTGGCGTGCCCGAAATATTGTGTCGGGTGCCATAAATGGCACGGGTGCCATTGGTTCGCCATCCCTGATATAGGATATTTATGAAGTAAAATTCATAACTTTATTATATATTCCATTTTTTTATTCATAAAATAACACAAATTGAGTATTTGATCGATTATCACATTTTGATCACAGTTTTGTTTTTATAATCATTAACATTATAAAATAACATTTTTTTCTGATTATTGTTGATAAAAATAAATTAAAATTAATATTGTTATTGTTTGGCTTTTATCCTTTGGATAGCTTTTTCCATCTCAGGTGGCATTTTTTTGTAACATTTAAATCCATTTGTTTTGCGAATATAATTTCGAACCATCTGTAATAATAAATAATAATTTATTTAACTTGCATTAAATAAAAAAAGTTAATTTTG